CTCCATTCCTTTCCCTGGACACCCTCCAGCCCCAGGGTCTGTCCTGGACCTGAGAACCCCAGAACTGCCCCAGGAGTTTCAAGTGGAACATCACCAATTCATTTCTGTTGAGAGCTTTATCAAAAACTCTGCAGGAAAAGATTTTTAAACAGATGCTTCCCTGTGTGAGATTTGGGGTCATGCAATGGGTTTCTTCCCCAGTGAACAATTTAAATTATTGCTCTCTTTGCTTGTGTGCTGTTGCCTCCCTGCCCAAGTGGGAATTGTCTCTGGGACAGCAGTGCCTTGATGATTTTATTTGTTTTGTGGCCTTGATCTGTGGTCAAGAAGAGGAAAACCTTTGGTAACCTGATGACTTCCTTCAGAAGAAGTTTTCTTTTTTTGCTTTAATGCTGCTGCTCATCCGTGTTGAGGAAGGTGGGATGTGATTCCTCAGAATGAACAGAACCTCCAGGACCACAGCATGGAGAGTTCTGCTCTGTTCAAGGCATTTATTTGCTTTGATTTGAAGTCCTTGTAATACAGAAAATTGCATTTTGTAACTTGTAATACAGTAACCTTGAATTTTCCTTGCTGACACAGTTATTAAATGGCACCAAAGGAGCAGGAGGGATGGGTAAAGGAATTATTACAAAACTTGGCACATGTGTATTATTTATTTTATTTTTATTATAGCATTGCAGAAGCAGAGAAACATGAGGACTTGTTAACACCTTGTTTATGATTTGAGAGTATTTTAAAGCAATCCTTTGTTGTAGAAGCTGCAGATCCTGAACCATCTCAGCACAGGATTTCTCTGCTAAAATCATTACACAATATTGGTGTAAAATACAAGGCCCTTAAGTGTGTTCTGCCAGCTGTGTATCCATGGACATTGCTATTGATACCTTGGGGTTTAACTTTCTAGTTTTGAGGGCATCACTGTCCCAACTCATTATTCCACATAACTCCAGAACCTTGGGGGTAACGAGGCCTTTTGGCTTTGCTCAGTAATTAAAACTGTGAGAGCTCAGGCACAAATACTGAGGGGAAGAAGCAGAATTTNGCTGGGTGTGGTGCAGAGCTGCTCCGTGCTGGGTGTGGTGCAGGGCTGCTCCGTGCTGATGTTTACTAATCACTTGCGCTTTCTTGCCCCTTTCCCCATCCCCTTTCCCTCTCCTACTTCTTCTCCTCTCTTCTATTTTCTCCTCCTAGAAGCCTAGACTGTCTCCTAACACTGGGGCTGCCACTGACACGAGGCCAGTGTCCTTTTCTACCTGCCATTACACTTCTAAACTCTGCAGCATTTTACAGAGCTCTTGCTTTACCTCCTTGGACTTGGCTGTAGAAGAACCAAAGGGTGGCTCCGTCCTGCTCCTCCTCCCTGTGCTCTGCAGTGCTTGTTGAAACCTTCCTCTGTCTGTGTAAGCACAAAGGTGCACCCTGCTTTGGAACTGCACTGTGCCTCTGGTTTGAAATCACCACCACAGCTCCATTTTTTGGTTTGATCACCTTTAAATTTAATTTCTCTCCGTTTTCATGGTGCTGGATAAGAGAAGGTTTGAGATTTCCAGTTGTGCTTCCATAGTGGATGGGTCCACCATGACTGCAGCTCCCTTCCCTTGTCCCCACACTCCCCACAGCCTTTTAGAGTACCTGCCTTGCTCCTTGCTGCTTTGGAACCCTCTCACACGAGGTTCTGGTCTGTAACAATGCTGTTTTCTTGGGTGGGTTCACATCATTTCAGCACTTTGTAGAATTGAGAGACAGATCAGGGAAAACCAGGTGTCCTGAGGTGCAGCTGGATCAGCTCTGGTGCATGAGGGGTGCATTTTGGGGTCCCAGCCCTTGCCATAGCTGGGAGTATGAAGGAAAGCAGCAACCCCAAATTCCTGCCTCAGGGAGTAGCTTTGGTGTCATACTCCTTCCCAAAAACCCCAGAAATTAGGAAGGAAATTGCCTTTTTTAACTTCACACCTCTGGCTTCCTGTGGGCAATGAGACCTTGGATGGAATTTACCTGCCATGAGAAATAATCTGTCCCTGCTAAAACTGAGGAGAACAAAAGCACTGAGATGTGATGCCGTGCTGAAATATTGCTGACAATTTCCAGCAGCACCAGAAGGACAGGCCTGGTTTAACCTAAACCAGAGCTCCAGGAGCCTGTCCAGGGGCATTCCCACTGCCCCACAGAGCTGCAAAGCTTTCCAAAGACAAAGTGCTCATTTTTCCATCAGTAGATGAAACAAAACATGAAAGGAGGAGATAATTGGAGAGGGAAATCAGGGTTTAAGCTGAGATAGGCTCAGGCTGGCTTTGGGAGGCGAGGGGCTGTTCTGGGTGAGGAGAATCCTGTGCTGTAGCTCAGGGTGCTTGGCCTGCCACACCTGATGGAAGGATTTAGCTGAACCCAAATGCAGCCTGGGGCTGAACTGCCCAAAGCAAGAGCTGAGAGCTTCACTGGGCTAAAATGGCATTTCCCTGTTGTGAGGGGAGTGCCTGGCACCCCCTGGCACCCGCATGCTGCTGCAGCAGGGTTTGGGTGGAATGGGCAGTGCCAGGGCCGTGCCAGGGCCCGCAGAGCAGCTCTAGGCAGCTCCCCCAGGCCAGGCAGCCTTGCTTTGCTGTTTGTCCCCAGTGGGACTCCCATGGCCCGGCTGGGTGGCAGTGCCAGCGCTGAGTCACAGCCTGGCTCTGCACTGTGCTGCCCACTTTGGTGCCAGGTCACCCCTGTGTGCCCCCCTGAGGAGCTGCCAGCCCTGTGGTGCCAGTGACCCCAGGGTTTGTCCTCTTGGTGCTCGTTGTTGTTCCTGGGGACGCTCCAGGCCCTGGAGCCCCACTCTGGGCATTTCACAGCATCGTTCAAGCTGGGAGTGACCTGAGATCAGCTCCAACCTGTGAGTCCCTCCTGGTGTGCTCTCCTTTGGCTTTTTGGTGTCTGTGGCCATAAAAGGAGATTCTTGGCTTTCTTTTCAAAGATCTTTTCATATATTTTTTTTTAATGTGATTTTGAAGCAAGGCAGCATCACTTTAACTTGGCTCCCCAATTGTTCTTTCTCACCTTTTGCCTTAAGTGGGCTTAACTCTTGTGCCCTAGAAGTAGAGAATAAATAATGTAAGACTGGTGTCTGAGGGGTGCATTTTGGGGTCCAAGCCCTTGCCATAACTGGGAATATGAAGGGAAACGTCCAGCCCCAAATTCCTGCCTTAGGGAGTGGCTTTAGTGTCACACTCCTGCCCAAAAGCTGTAGAAGTAAGGAAGGAAATTTCAGATGGAAATATGAAATACGGAAGGTTTCAGGTACCTGAATATGACACTTTTCCCACTCCCACAGATGTTTTACTTTATTGAAAGGCAACAATGCTTTAAAGCCTTGGCTGGAGTCCCTTGTAGCCAGGGTGAGGTGGGCAGAGGAGTTTGGGAGCAGCTGCCCATCCTGGCACCCCCGTGGGTGGGATGGGGCTGGGCAGGGCAGGGGCAGCTCCTCCAGCCTGCTGCAAACATGGATCACCCATCCCATGCCACCCCATGTTTGTGCCCTGTTCATTTGTAGTGCCATGGGGTCACTGGTGGGCAGAGGGGCTGCACAGGGGGCTGTGGGCACAGGGGGCTGTGCTGTGGGGCTGGGTGATGTTCCTGCAGCACTGCCCCTGAGCTCTGGGTGTGCTGGGGTGGGATCCCAGGGGATGTAGGGGATGGTGCAGTTTCTGTCCCTGCTGGAAACAGCCCAGTGTCCCAGTGGGGGTGTCCTGTGCAGCCCCAGGAGAGTTCTCTGCTCACAGCTGGGGCTGTGCTGTGCTCTCACCCCTGTGCTTGCTCACCCTTGTGTTGTCACTGCTGCTGAGTTGCTCCTTGCAATGCTCTGTATGATGTGAAGCTGTAACTGCTGTGCAATAAATGTCCCTAATAAACATCTCAAACTAACCCCTCCCGAGTTGTTCTGTGCTGGGAGTGTCTGGGGTCCTGCTGCCAGCCCAGGAACGAGCCCTGCAGGGAATGTGCTGGGCTGTGCTCTGGTGGCACTGCTGGAAGGGGACATGGCTGCAGCTGGCAGGGATGGGGAACCTGTCCCTCGAAGCCAGGCATGTTGTGCAGAGTGTCCCACACCATGTCCTTGTCCCCACACTGAGGGACAGGGGTTTCCTGGGTGCAGCACTTGGGGGATGAGGAAGGGGCTGGGTGGTCACACTCAGCTGTGGTCACTGGCTCTGTGTCTGAATGCAGAGCAGTGACAGGAGGGACACTCAGGGGTGGCACCAGCACTGCCCAGCCTCCCTGGCACTGGGGCTGGGGCACTCTGGGCACTCTGCTGGTGACACTGAGCTCTGGGTGCTGGTGACACTGAGCTCTGGGTGCTGGTGGCAGCTCTGGGTGCTGGTGACACTGAGCTCTGGATGCTGGTGACAGCTCTGGGTGCTGGTGGCACTGAGCTCTGGGTGCTGGTG